ACTAAACTGTGAGCACATTTTAGCAATTAGACATCTCCCGAACACTGAAAACATTCTCTCCAGCTGCTTGTATCATGCCAACCCCCCCCGCCCCCCCTCAGTTAAACAAATATATCTTTCTTCTGGTTTGTCAGCACTCCTGTTTCGAGAGTGATGAGTGTATTAGCTCAAGGAGTTTATTATTACAAGCGTGAAAATGGCAGGCGTTTTAACAATTACCTATGAAAACAGGTATGTGGGACAGGTCAGTTGTCTTTTGGCGCCCTGTTTTTAAAGAACTAATTACAAGCAATCGAGGCAAGGTCGCTGCCGTCGATCATCCTCTCAAGCCGCTCGCTTGTTATTCAAGTGTTGGTTTAGGTGGCGGCAGACTCAAAGTTAAAAAACTGCAAAGCGAGTTTAGGTCGGTAAACTGCAACAGAAGGGAATAAAAGAGTAGCTATGTGTTGAAATATGGGACTATTTTGGGGTAAAAGGGAATTGACACGACATCGACGCACACTCAAACACACAAGTGCACACGCATACACAAAGGACAAAGTCCGTTTTAGTAATAAAAGAAAGTGTTTGGGTTGTAACTCAAAAGAAGTGATGCACGCTTGGTTCCACGTTGCTCCTCCGGGGCTCCGCAGCTATTCTTCACAGTAATTAACACCACACGCTCAAAACCGAAGCCTGTTTTTAACTCCAGGGTTCCCCTGCGGACGGGCAGCAAAAGGCATTTTTGATGTGCAGCACTCAATAACGAATCAATACAAATCTAACTGCTGGGAATACTTTTATAGATGCCAGAGACCAATAGAGCCACGTTCCCGCCGGGCTGGTTCACACGGAGCATCCTTTAACTAAACGAGAGATGAGATATATGGAAATGCACTGAGGAACAATAACTCGCTGTGACATTACAAGTGGGTGATAACAAAAGTCACAACTTCCTGTTATAATTCCGCTTCCGGGACGCAAAACGTTACAACGTTTGAGATTACCGCGTCCCATTAGAGTCAGGCGCCGCGCTGCTGGGTTTGTGTCAACCTGTGAGGACAACGCGGCGGGCAGACAAAAGGGACAAAAGCCCCCCACTCCGCTGAGGGCCTGCAGAGAGGAGATGTGACTGAGACGAAGACCCAGTTGTGTCACTTTATAACAGTTCATCTCTCTCTCTCTCTCGCTCTCTCTCTTCACCTGCCAGATAGTCGGAGTCTCACCCATCCTCCTCTCCTCCGATTCCCCGCTGGAGTTAGAGCGTTGTTCGAGGATAATATTAGGCTTGTTGACCGTCATCGCCTACTCTACTCCTTAATAATAAAAACCTGCATGGGAAGACTCAATATCAACAGAAAATGGGCAGGTTCCAGCCAAATGGAGGTGCATTGTGCATTCATTCCACCAGCTTTGTGTTCTCCGGGCCTTTTGATTTCATTTCAAATGCATCTTGTGTTTTTCTTTGAGGGTGCAGCTGTTCGGTGAAGAGATAAGGCTCCTCGCTGACCCGTGCTACTTACGAGAGGTCAAATAAGGCCGAGGATAATAAAATAGAATAGCGATGCGAAAATAAGCTTTTCAAGAACCCAAATTGGTGGAACGCTCCCTTGCAACGGCCCACCTAAAATAGCCCGGCTTCTGGGGCCCCTGACGGATTTAGCTAAGTGGAGCCTGGCGTTACCTACGGCTAGTCAGGTCTCTTCCTCCTCCCGCTCCTCCTCCTCCTCTCTCCCTTTGACTAACAGATCTCCCCAGAGTTCTAAAAATATCAGGTGAACAGGGCCGTAGAGATGGTGATGAAACGGCGTCTCTGAGTCCGTCCCACTGCAATCCATCTCTCCACTGCCTGCCAGCCAGCATATGTTTGCAATTGGCTCCCCCCAGCAACCTGTCTTGCCTCTCAGCCCCCCCCTCATCCAGCCCCCTCCACCCTCTTTCACTGGTCCCCAGTCCAGATACACCCACACCACACACACACAACACATTTCCCCATACTTGCCCTCTCGCTGTCTCTCTTTCTCCCTCAGCTACTGTCCCAGTCCCTGCAGGTCTGGGCTCTCCAAACCGGTGCAGTTATCAATCATGGAGCCAGCACTGTCATGTCGGACCAAACCACACACACACACACACCTTCTCTCCCTCTCCTCTTTCCTCTTCTTTCTATCCCTCATCTCTTTGTCATCCCACCTCACTCTCTCTCTCCCCCCGTTTCCTCCCCCGTTCTCTGACTCCTCGCTTACATTTGCCCAAATTTGTTCCACTTAATAAGCCCTCCCCGATGACCTTGTGCTAATTAAGCCGCACTGTGTTGGAAGCATGATGGTTAATTAATGATGAGATAAATTCTGTCTGCAAGACTGTCAGAAAAATGATGACACGGTGCTTTACAGGTTTAAATAGAACAAACCTTGTGGTCGTCCTGCCTCTGCGTGCGCGTGCAAGGGAGTGTGTGTGCATGTGTGCGCAGTAGCGTGCGTGAGCGAGTGCAGAAACGCGGCATGAGCAACAAGAAGAAAGAGTGATCATGTGACGACCAGTGGGAGTGGACAGTGTAGGTTTGTGTGTATAAACAGAACTATGTGGGAGTTAACACGGCTGTGTGTGTGACGCAGTGTCGCATAACACGTAATGGAGGAGTAAGAATACACACGTCAAGCCGAACGCACAGGCGACTTAAAGCTCCATTCGTGCCCAGCATCCTGGTGTGGGAGTGACCTTCCATCACAAAAGCAAGGAGCACAAACGGCCTTTGGGAGCAAAAAGTGGGATTCAGTTAGAAATGGGACTTGTTTTTTTACCTGGTTATGAATTAAATCCAACAAAAGTCATAGTTGTTGGCAAATACTGAAAGTACTGATGAGCTGCGGACTGCAAACTGACCAGGATCCACTTGTGTGGTTCACATACTGTCTGATCCGGTGGATGATTGAAGGTTAGTGCATTTCAGATCACAACAACAATCGTCCTGGACACAATGTGGCTGACCGGGACAGAAATGTGTTGTTGTGATGAAGTTATCCACTATCCGGTTCCCCGAATCTACTTATCGAGACATCAACAAACTCAGAACGCACAAATGTCTCGCAGTACTTCATTCAAAGACAAGCTGCTTGTAAAGCATTAGGATTCATAGGATGAAAGCTGAAGGGATTTCCTGGAGCAGACGCGGGTGGATGTTTTACTTCTCGTTACAGTTTAGCCCGGCAGGTGTGATTTGGGGGGTGAAAAGAATGTTTTACTGTCAGTCGGCTTGACATTACCTGTTCAGTAATTTATCTGTATAATATCATGATATGGAACCAGCAACGGTCTAAGATTTTGGATGTCGTAATATTGTAATGTGACGTAGGTTTAGTCTTTTCCTGGTTTTAAAGGCAGCATTACAATAAAGTGATTTAATGCTCTGAACTTACCAGATTCTTATTTTTTATTTGCCTCTACCCACTTAGTCATTATATTTTCAGGATTATTTGTCCAAAGGTTTTGGAAAAATGTTGTGAAAGCCCTAACTTGAGGTGCAAAATATAGTAGATTTCATAGTAGTTAACAAAACGGGACAGATTCCCGTGTAACCCGTTCATCTTTAGAAAAGCACACGACAACCACTCTTTGTTTTCGCTTTTGGCTGTTTCGTTCCTTGCCAGCGGGCACGTCCCCAGAGGAGAACGGCTGCACACGTGTCTCGGTGGGAGGTCATCGCCTTCACTACCTGGCCGGCCGGGCCCAGTGGCCAAAGAGCAGAACGGCGACGGTTCCGTCGGGTCGCTCACGGGCGTGAACGGATGTGTTATTTTTATTATGGATAAATACAGGAAAAACTGGATTTCTTTCATTTCACTGTGATTTAAAGGAGAGTCGTCAGTGGGGCCAAACAAACCCGGCTTCTTTCAAGTTCATATTTTCCTGCCGTCTTTTCTGCGCCGCTAATCACATTGACTGCTGCCCTTGGGTGGCTGAAAACTAGGGCCCACCACCCAACACCATGCCACAGACACGGGCAGATAAGGGAAGGAAGAAAGAGAGAGATTAAAGAGCAGATTCATTATCAATAATCAAGGGAAAGGACGTGACGTAGCAGCCGTCCTCGGATCAATCAAGGCGACGGCAACAAAAACGGTGGATCCCACGCGCCGTTGAAGCAGCTGAGGACATGAGGATTCGTTTCCGATCTAATCCAGATGAACAGCTGACAGTAGGAATTGAGTTGATGCCGTCAGAGAGATGGAGAGGCAGCTGGTCGGGTTGCTTACTTCCATATCTGAAGACACTTGTCAAATCGAATACCGCGACTTGTCAAAAGTATCAATTTGGCTGAGGAGTAATGAAAACGCGGGTCTGTTTCTATTTTAGCAGCTCTCTTGACAGATTGAGAGGTGTTTAACGTCTCGTTTTGGCTTGTCAGGGAGGGGGTTGGGGGCTTCACAACTTCATCTCCTCATCTTTCCTTTTCCACACACACAGACACACACACACACCGACTGACAGCAGGGCTCTGGTTCTCAAAGACGGGGCCAGGCGGGAGACATTACACATACACGGAAACGCACCAACACACGTACGCAGACTAAAATGGTAAAAGAAACATCATTCATCCTTAATTCAAGAGGGAGAGCGGAAAGTAAGATGAGGGAGGGAGCCAGATAAAGTTTGACATAAAGAAGGAGAAAAAAAAACGGATGGAAGCAAGAGAGCGAGACTGACAGAATGAGTGAAAGCCATTTAACTCATTAGGGGAAGGGAGGATCCCAAGTTATATTTAACTTGAAATTCACCGTAAGTAGTCGGGACTTTTTGCTTAAAAGCTTGCAGGCCTCCATAGGGGTTGTATGAGTCATCCTCCCAAATCTAGCATTAGTCGCATGCTGTGTCTCTCCCTTTAGTCTCATAAAAACAAACTAAAACAAGTCAGATTGACGCTCTCGATTTCCTGAGTGGAAACGAGACACAATTGATTTTCATTTGACTGAAAAGTAGAAGCGATACGTCGTCCTGGACGCGGGGGAAAGCGTTTCATTTACCTCTCTTTACGCTGTCCCACTCCATGTTTTCCCAGCAGGTGTGTGCTGAGGTGTTTCTTCATCACAAAGGCCCATCTAGAAAACACAAACAGACACAGAACATGGGTTAACGTATATTGTGCGGATATGTTGTGCGAGTTTGTTCATTTGAAGAACCCTGAAATACATCACATAGGGACCTCCGTTTGTACCACCAATGAATAAACTAGAGTTTAAGTAAGACTCTAGCTGGATATAAGTAATTTCCAACCTTGAGCAGTAAAACTGGGACGAGGTCTCTTGGTTTTGGGTTTTTGTGTGTTCGTTGTGTGTGCATGTCTCCCAGCGCTACACGTCCCAGCGATCGCATGAGAACCGACCCTTTACGCACATTCCAGGACCTTACCCAGCAAACCCCATCTGACATTGAGTTTCAAATATAATCGTTCATAAACATGCTTTTGGGTAGAGGAAGAGGGGGCGTGGGGGGGGACCATCGTCCCGCTAATAGATGACAGACCGGCACAGCCGCCGTAAATGTATGTGAACACTTTGCACCACAGGAGGAGCGCGGCGCTTGAGAGACGTTTGTTTTTCCGAACACCTTTTGGGTCCATCGGAGTCCAGTTCCACATACTGAGCTTCCATGTGTCAAACAGGCATGTCGGGATGATCAAAACCCATGCGGGTCCACGTCAGCACGCACACACGTCCAGAATTACCAGCGTCCCTTCGCCTGCCAGGGCCCGTAAAATGATTTTAACCCGGGGGGGGGGGGGGGGCCTGCGTGTACCGCGTCTCCCAAACAGCACATGAAAACATAATGAGCGGATGACAGGACTAACTACTCCGACATCCAAGCTGCTCCACCAGAGCTTTCGTCCCCCTGGCCTTTTCATTTAGCACCCATCACTTCCCATTATTGTGCATCCGAGAGACAATGACCACATCTGAGAGCCGAAGATGGAGCTACATGAAAGAGGCCCAGGGAGTTGAACCGACAGTCATGTGGTTGGCACCGTCACCGCACACACTCAAGAACCCCCCCGTCCCTCCTCCTTGGTGTCGCTCCCCGTTTTTCTTCTTTTCCGGAGGTCTTTTGCTTTTGTTTCTTCCAAGTAGATCATTATTCTCTTTTCTCTCAGGCAAGCCCCGCCTCCGTCTCTCTGAAGCTTTCCTCCCAACTCGTCAGTCTCATAAAGTCAAAGCATAATTATTTCACTATTTATGTCGATGTGTCAGCTATTGCCCTTCTCTACCCTGACGTACACACACACACACACACACACACACACACACACACGGCAGAGTCCTCCATCCCATCATGGCCCCAGAGTCCCGTCCGTCACGAGGCCCCCGAGGCAGACGCTAACTAACACCACCATATAAATATTCAAGCGTGTTCCACTGTTTTGCCTCACTGTCGTCACTCTGTATTTTCGCGATCCTCTCCAGCTCGATCCGTCCGGAGCGTCGCCCCCGAGTTAAACTGAGTGCATGACTGGATCGTGTGTACTCCAATCCGGGAGGACGGCCAGATCAGAAATGCTGAGCTTCTCGGTCCCACCGGAAGGAAGCGTCTCTGACTGACGGCGCCGTCTATAAATACACAAGAAGCATAATGAAGACATTTCCGAAGGGGTCGGATGAGGCAAAATAACGAATCGATAGATCTGAAAGGAAAGCACGGACGCGGAAAACGTTGTGCGTGCTCGTTTAAGTCGGCGTGTTTAGACGCAGGAGGAAAAAAAAAAAAGAGCTTGCAAACATTTCTGTTAATTATGTATTACAGCTGTCCTTCATAAACCTAATTACAGAGTGCTGAAAGGCAACAGGGGCAATTTGCATATGTGCATGAAAGACAAGACATATGCAAAATATGGTTTTAATTAGCATTCTTTGATAGCGAGGGGTACAAATCAAACTGGCATGTTGTGAGATTCTCATCTCGCCCATTTTATACCGGATTATTCTCAGAGTGCAAGATGGGTAATGCCCTGAGGGGGCACCTGGCACACACAACAATGGTGGTTAATATCACAGAGGTGCACAATAAACACACACAACCAAAGAGATCCACACAAATGCACACAAAGAGTGGCGTTGATACATTTAGAATTAGCAATTTTCCATATGATTATCTGATCCAGCCAAAGTACTTAAATGCAGGAAGCACACACACACACAAATATATTCATTACGCAGTCTTTACACACTCGTCTCTCATGCGTACCGACACACACACTTAACACAGAAAGATCCCATGTCTTAATGTTAAAAGGGGCAAATCCATTTGTTTAAGGTGGTGTGTAATCGGCCCCGCGCCCTCGCTGTGTGTGTGTGTGTGTGTGTGTGTGTGTGTGTGTGTGTGTGTGTGTGTGTGTGTGTGTGTGCATCCTCTGGCATCCAGGTCAAGGCCTCAGCTTGTCGTCCTGCTGCCTCGGGCTGCATCATCAGCCCGAACCATCAGCCTTGATGGTTATTCTAACAAAGGGATACTTTAACATGCCATTCATCCATATCAATTCTCCCCCCTGCCCCCCATGAATACAACTAATAAGGCTGTGCCTCTTCCCTCCAGGGAGGCTCATAAGATCCACTGCAGATATGGAAAAGGAGAAAAAAGAAAAGAAAGAGAAAGACGGAGACTGGTGTTTCACGTTCGACTTTCCCTTCAGACTAATCGGCGCGCCACAGCTCGTTAGGTCCGTGACGTGCCGGAGCTTTACCGATAAGCAGGGGAGACACGGCTCAATTACCCACAGTTACAATCTCCCCCCACCCCCACCCTCCCCTCGCCGCCCGCTGATGAAGAGATAACATGTCAATATTTGAAACAAACAACTCCATTTGCCTAACGGGGTTCCTGGATAGGCCCGTGTACGGCTCCGACAGGCATGGCGGATCTAAGAAAGGGCCCGGAGCCGCGCTTCAATCGCACACACCCCCGTTCCCGAGAGCCGTGCGCACGGCATGCTGGGAATAGAGCCAGGTCAGGCGAGACACACTTTGCCAACTTGGGCTGGAGTTACTTTTCGCTTCTTTCTTCAGGGTCTGACATGCACGGGGAGAGAAACAGCACATCACAAGGGCTTTTTCATTAAAGTAACCCCACACTTATATAGGACAATGGGTCAGAACACCCCATCGGTACTCAATACCTATTTAGGGCACAGGTTTTGCGTATGTTTAGTGTGTGGTAGAAAACAACTTTCCCTTTCTGGTCACTAACTGGAAGTGTCTCTTATCAGCTGAAAATGAGGATATATAGCGCTGGGGGAATAGAGTGCATTCCCAAAACCAAACCTGCTGTCTCAAAGACAAAGAACCAGAAGACTAGATCGGCAAGTTGGACAAAGGCAGCGTGAATATCTACAGATGTTGAACAGCCGAGCTCGTCATGCTAACTGTGGAGGATAAAAGTTGGCACAATTCCTGATCGTTTTTCTCCTTTGCAAGCGACTGAAGACCCGTGCTGTGCAAGATCGCAGCAGAGGAAAAGCTTGCAGCTGAAAAATGAAGCTGAAATCGAACACACTGCCGTATTGTAATTGGTTAAAAGGCAACTGAAAAGCCATTAGGAGAGAGCGACCAGATGTAGGAACCGCTCAACCCACGCCGGCAGAGCCACCGAAACCTGGCAAGGAGGAGAAATCCCAGGTGGGAATATAAGAGGGGGGGGGGGGGTGAAGTTATGGGACCATGCCTCAGCTCTTTTTGTGGAGAGGGGCACACACACACACACACGCGCACACACTCTCGCTCTCCCTTCAGTGGGCCGCTGGGCCACGTAGAGAGGAGTGTGTGCGGGCTCCTCCAGCCTCCTGTGCCCGTCCTAATGATGGGCCTCCACCTGCTGCTTTAATGTCACAGCTGGATCGCCCTCCATCCCTCACTGACTCCGACTGGCATCAGCAGCAAGGTAAGTCCCCTCTTGCACGCGGCTTGCCTTCGTCTCCTTCCGCCACCTCAGCCTCCTTCATCTCCCGTCACTTCCATCTTCTGTTTCTCACAGCGCTCGTCTCCATACGACCCCCCCCCCCCCCCCCCCCCTCTCTGCTACACTTCTTTTTCCGGCTGCCTTCCTGTAGTACTGAGCGCCTACATGGCTTTACCAAACCTCATTTTTCCTCCTCCTCCCCCTCCCATTCTTCCCTTTATGTCCATCCATCATCTTTGCCACCTTCAGCTGAACCCAACTTCCACGCACAGAAAGTGCAGCAGCACCAGGAAAGGTCTTAAATTTAGAACAATGTACTGGAGGAGTGGCGCTGACGTGACAGTCGGTCGCCCGTTCCTCATGAAGAAAGGCATCACAACTAATTTGAGAATGATCCACTGACAGGTCTGCACGAGCATTAGCGCGGCGGCCCATGTCTGAGGATGTCGCTCCCAAAAACGGCCCTGGTGCAGCTTAAGTGGGAGTTCGCCAGCATAGAAAAAAAAGAACTTTTCTCAAAACGGCACAACTACTTTGCTCCAAATAAACATAATGTGTTTCTTCCTTGTTTAATTTCTTACAAACCCGTCGCGTAGACGTGTGAAAAACCCAGAGGTGAGTTGACAAGTCTAATCTGAGGAGCTCTTGACAGGCAGGTGAAGTGACAGAAGAAAACCAGCACACGGCTGACAGCAGCCCCGGAGAGCCGAGACAGCTGCCGGCGTATCAGAGAGGACGGATAAACAGACAGCAACGAGACGTTTATTGACAGACAGAGCGACTGCTTCCCTGACAGGCGGACAGACGGACACACAGACAGGGAGGCAGTGGAGAGGAGGCGGGCTCTCTGCCCAGTTCAACGCTCCCGCTCCACGAGCGGGCCTCCACGTGCCGGGTCCGAATGTTCCCATGTGGAGGCAGCAGGCAACGGAAGGAAGGAGGAATGACCGCCACAGGAGAGGAAGAGGGGAAAATGGAGGAATAGGAAAAGTCAGATGGAGTGACGGTGAAGTAGGGCGAGAGCAGGAGAGGCGAACGTGGTCCGCAGGGGCGACTCTGCGTCAATATCGCTCGCTTGTGCAAGCATCCCATAATGGAACAGATATTGGGACGGGAAAATTAATAAATAAAACATCCGAATTGATTTTGTGTTTTT